AAGACATCACAAACGGTATAAATGCTCAGTAAATAGTGCAACAAAATGCAGAAATTTTTCATATTAAACAGCTCTTGGGTTTCACAGACCACCCGAATGCACTGCCCTGTTAAATAATAAAAACTTTTTCTTAAAGGAAAGCTATAAAACAGGTAAATTTAAACAAGTTGATGATACAAGAATTATATTTTATGCAATAAAACACTAGATACAGCCATTTATAGAGATATATGAAGAACAACAAAGATTTAGTTTAAATAGATAACAACAGATGCCGTATTTGTGATTTGTCAAGTAGTCGAAAAGGCGATTGCATTGAACAATCCTGCCTTTAATTATTGTAGATCTGAAGAAGGCATTCAATTGTGTAAGATTTCAAGATATAATGACAATTTTGAGAAAGATCATACCATAACAAAGTCGTTAATATCAAAGCCAAACCACCATATCAAAGGCATTAATAAAAGTAATAGAGGATATGAATATGAACACTGTCACAAAAGTGCAAATTAGAAATATGGTAACATGCATCTGTCTTAAGACAAGGGGATTCTCAAAGCACTACTTTTTAATTCAATTATGGACAAGCTTATTGACGGTGTAAAAGAAAGGTCAGCAAATGGAATGGGTAGTGAGAGAACATCTGTATTGTGTTATGTGGATGATGCAGTATGACTGGCAAATTAAGAAGAGAACTTGCAAAAGCTCTCACAATAATTTTTTAAAAGTGCAGAATTTTTTAATATGGTCATCTCAACTGACAAAAATAGATCAGTGGTGATCTCAAAAGAGCCTATATGGTGCAAACTGATGAAAAATAATGAAATGAGAGTGTAAGTAACTAAATTCACTGATTTAGGAGTTGAAATTTCAAGCACATGGAATATGTGTAATGAAGTTAAACAGCAAGAAATGAAAGGAGCAAGAATATCATGGTATTTGAAAGATGTGACAAGAAGAGGTAAATTTCTTAATGTAGAAAGCAAAGTAGAATTTTACAAAATGATGGCAAGCCTAGTAATAAAATATGGAGCAAAATCAAGGGCCAATAATAGAACCTACTTACAACATCGGAGATGAGAGCGTGATCAATATTAGGGGTAACAAAATGAGATATATTGAAAAACCAAGATATAAGAAATGAATGTGACATCACATAGTAAAATTTGCAAGAACAAGAAGAAGAGGATGGAGAGTATGTTGCCAGGTTGGACAGCTAAAGACTAATCAAAGAGTCAAGGATTCAAAGCGAAAGTGTTGCGAGACTGATTGCGAAAGATTCAAAGACTACAAGAAAACTCGACCCAGGCAAACCGAAGAAAAGATAGATTGAGAGTTGGATTTCCACTTCTTCTGAATTATCCTGATGGTGAATTGTGAAGAAAAACAGGTGTAACTTTAATAAAAGAAGAAGAAGCAGCAGCAATAAAACTATTAATCTTGCAAATATATCTGGCAAACCTCCAAAATGTGCAAATTTTTAGTCAGCATTCCCCAAAACGTGCTATTTCATGCAAAATAAAATGAGTACTAAATACCTGTTTCGTATTTCAAATTTCTGTCAAGGTTTCAATCGTTTCAAGTTAGCAAAGAAAAAATGTTGTTACACGGTAAACAGTGCTCACATTGGTGTTTACCAACAGAGTTGACGACTTCCATATGGAATACAAAAAACCTTCTCACGAAATGCTCAGTACCTTATACGTCCAAGTCTCATATATAATTGTATAAAATAACATATCTTGTTGATTTCTTTCTAGATTTTTACTTCAATAATGCCTGAAGATGACTTTTGTCATTTTAAAGAAAAATGTTTTTGGATAAATGAATATGATTTTTATGTAATCCATGTAAATAAATGGTCTTTAATGAAGTGGGTATGAAGGGAAAACTGTTTAAATGTGCCAGTTTTTCATTTCAAATAAACAGTTTTGCATACCATTCAACATGAACAATGTACCATTGACATGGTAAGGTAACCACATTTTTGGGTCCTTCAGTTCAATCTAACCTCAGATCGAACATCCATAAAAATGAATTGAACACACAACTAAGCTAGAGTTTATTATGCTATGTGTTCAGAATTCTTTCAGATTGTCAGCTTACGTACTGCACAAGGTGTATATTTTGCAAATGTTCATTCATCCTGAGATGCAGCACATTCCACCAGGGAAACGCATCCTATGGTTCCCACACTTTTAGAAGACTAACGGAAAAGAATTGTTGATTAATAAGCAAATCCCATCTCATGATTCTTGAAAGCATATCTTTTAAAAAAACAAATTCTGCATCGCTTTTGCATTGATTTACGAATCGGTACCTAACACCAAGTTTTTTGATTTTCATGTTTTGATTCTGGACAGAAATGTAGCTTCACCAACTATGCATATTTTCTTTGTGTCAGTGGAGAATAGATCTATTTAAATAATTGATCTACATGTTCTAGCAGCAGAAAGTTGATTCAATCATAAAGTACATGGTATGGAGTAATAGCAAAATCTATAACTGATGTGCCTTAGCAAATTGTTTTTATTATACAGGACAAATATTTTCTCACCAGTTTTTTGAAAAACACTTGTTGCTACTTGCATGCATTATTCAACTTAATATGTCTGAGTTACGGCAGAGGTCCCAGTGCTCAAAAAACTATGTACAGATTGAACTTCTCCCCATTGTACATTTACCATAGTTTTTAACTATTTTGATGTTGAATAAATAAAAGAAATAAAAAATGTGAAACGGCACCAGACCTCACCATGACAGCGTTAGTAATACGACTATCTACATCGAGTGTCGTGAACTTTTTAGCCTATGTGATTGAAAAATGTGTTCATAGAGGAGGATAAATGTTACCAATAATAAAAGCGAAGGAAAGAATTTCTGAAGAGACAGGAAGAGGTCGATCAAAACCAATGAATAGGAAAATAAAACTAGGAGTGCTACCAAAGCACATACTTTCTCGTATTCTAAATGCTGCTTGGTATTATTCTACTACATAAACAAGCAGACGTGTTTTCAACCAGAATTTTTTTCTGCTTTGTGACTTGAACTCAGATCCTCAAAGTTAACTTGCCAGCCCTCGTACCACTACGCCACGCAATCGCCGTATGGATCAAACTCGCTCAGAGACATTAAAAAGGAAAGGCCCGACGTGTAAAAAACCATCCACAATCAAAATATCCATTAGAAAGTCTCAAAGCCTCCGGTCCGTTCAGATCGATAAGGGAATATCAATTTTAGAGAAAATCGCCTGAGCAGTTTAGGCGCTACATTTGACCACTGACAGGTTTATTGATAGTGATTCCAGGCACATCAACGGCTAAGGTCATTAGTCCCATAAGTGTAGTACATGTTTTTGCTCGGGATGGAGCCCCTCCCCCCGGACAGTTGAATCCGGCGGCGACCTACCATCGGCTAGCGGTTTTTTCCAACCATATTCCATATATTTGATTTGTAAAACGCATGTCACGTAAAATCAATTGTCTTTCATATGCATCTGTATGAACCGATTTAAGCCAACTAATGATTGTTTCAATATGAAATTTAATTACAATATAACCAGTACCAATGGAATGAATTTTAGATATCCCTGACAGTTCCGAAATAATTATTATTACTATTCGCCTTACAAAAGTTAGGTAATCGTGCGCCAGAAAACGACAAATTTTCGCCAGAAAAACTCTTATTGCCGGACTCTGGAAACGAAGAACTAGATAAATCCTGTTGCTAAATTTATTTTAAAAAACTCTAAAATGTGGTGAAGCCAGAATCAATGTTTTGTTGGTTCTTCATTCTGAAAAATTGATTGATGGCGAAACGTCCATGTCTGTCCAGTTGTGGTCAACGCTAATGCCTAAACTGATTGTCTCCAAACTTGATGTTCCATGATTGAGCTAAACGGACTGGAGGCTTTGGGAGTTTTTAATGATTATTTTGATTGTTCAGGTGGTTGCTTCTTTTTTAGTGAATGAGATATTTGCTTTTTTATGCCTCTGCCAGAGTTTGATCCATAGGGCACTTGTGTGGCGATAAGTGCCGCCGGTAAGTTAACTCCACAAATCTGAGATCTGGTCTCTGAGCGGAAAAAAATGTTGAAAACACTGCTTGAAAACACTTTTGCTTATTTATGTAGTGTTACAATATTGCGGAGAATTTAGAAACAGTGTGAGAAAGTATGTGCATTGGTAACACCAGTAGTTTGTGAGCTTAAAACTTTTGAAGGACTTTTATAGAGAGCAAGTTCAGTGTTATTATTCAGTAACATTAGTATTGATCATGCACTGTTGTTGTTGTTTTTGTTTTTTTTATATTTTCCTTAGGTTTAAAATTAAAGATTTAAATTATATTGTATTTGTTATTATTACATAGTGACATTTTTAATTGCTTCTGTGCCTTAGTTTTTAATTTAATTTTGTCTGTTATTTCTTTAGTGAACCATAAAGGATAATTACTAGATTTAGGGATGAAAGTAGAGTAAACAGATAAGTTATTTTATTCAACTGTAAATATAATATACATCAGTATTGTTTCATTTATTGATTAACAGTTTGTTCGACCTATCAGAAGATAGTAATTTTTTTAGTCAAATCAAAGTCCCCAAAGTCATTTGCCTCACATTCACCTATTTCTTACAGCTTGCTCTACGTCCAGAAATTTCAAATATGTCGAAGCTGTTGAAGACGGGGCGAAATGAAGAGGAGTTAGTTAGGTTATAGTTGTATTTTGTTGTTGTTTTTTATTCTATGACCTTGTCTGTGTTGCAGAATGTTTTGTATGGATTTTCTTTTGCTTTACTTTGAATACACCCAGTAACAAATAATTATTAATTTTTTACAATAATTAAGGTAAGCCCAAATGTTTCATAATCGAATATCTGGGGAAAAATGAAATTATTTGAGATTGGGAAAAATATAAAATAAAATATTGGCCCAATTGTCTTAACATGTTGAGAAAAAGAGCTGATTTCATGACCACTAAGATCTGTGTTTCTTGTTGTGCAGCCTTTGGTTTCAACTCAGCATGGGGCTGGGACTGAGCTGGTCTTCACTCCTCAGCCCCTTGTGTACCTGCCAGATCCGCGCACTGCTGCACAACCTCCACAATTAGCACCGGAGCCCACTGCCACTTTGCACGAGTTGTCTGGTTTCTTCATGGGGATGAATCTGGCTGGTCCAGAGCAACCACCGCCACCTCCACCACCTCCGCCTCCACCCCCTCAGCAGCAACCACCGCCACCTCCACCTCCACCACCTCCACCACCTCAAAACCGAAATAACACCGGTACCGGAACAGGTGCTGGTGCTGGTAGTGGTGGTAGCAGTGGTAGCGGCAGCAGTAGTGGCGGTGGTGGTGATGCTTCCAACTCGAATTATGCTGTTCCTTATTGGTCTCAACAACAGCAGCAGGTGTGAAATTTTCTCTTGTTTTTATTTTTTTATTATTTTTCCAACGTAAGACTTCAAGGCTGTCTGTTGTTATTTGATTACGTATAAATCAGATAAAGTTGCAACTTCTCTTTATAGGCAATAGGAATGATACTTTTACATATTTATTACTTTGTGAAGTGTAATGAACTTGCATACTTACTAAATTTGTGAAGTGTAATGAATGTGTAAAAGAATCATTCCTGTTTTCATAAATTTGACTGTCTATAAAGAAAAGTTGGAACTTTAACGGATTTTTTTTTTTTAACCAAATTCCTTTTTGTCACATAGTTCATTAGACAAGAAAATGAACTCAGCTGATAAAATGCTGGTGAAATGTGAAAGTAGTTTTTCATCAGAGCTCTTGGCATTAAAAAGGTTGAAAATAGACTAGCGAATAACAAATTAAAAATTGGAAAGATTCAATACAGCCTTAATTGTACCACATGTAGTTGATGTGTGAAGGTAATTGGCATGTAAGGTCATGATGAACTCTTTCTTACACAGACAAATTACTGAACAAATTATTAAAAACTCAAAGGAAAGGAGGGAGGGACTTGGACCTATTTTCTCAGTTTTAGTTGTGTGGCGTTTTATATCTCGGAGAACTATCCACAACCCTTCATGTCCTTATGACACACATTTTAGAATCTTGCCTTGCCCCTGTTACACCTGCGTAGTCCACGCTGCTTGATGAACATGGCACATGTCAAAGGCGGCATCAGGGCACCGATGTATCAAACACACGATTCAATGGGCAATGTTAACATTTTTCTAAATTTGTTGCACCTAACTCTTCGAGGACCATTGAGCGCATTGGAGTAATCCTCCGTTATCTAAATCTTAGTCAGGGAATCGCTGTCAAGTCGCGTCTTGGCTGTTTACTGTCACATCACACATGCTGCAGTACAAGCCCACGAATACCTGGCTGTAAAAATACTGCGTTCACTCACTGTACTGACAACTTCCGTGTCTTATTCGGCGCCAACACAAGAATGCGATCCCCGACAGTTAACGTCATAAGCACCGCTCTCTGGTCATAAAAAAAATTACGGTTTTCCTACTCACTCACGAGTCTTTGGTGTGCGAATACCTTCGATTTACGTATTATGTTTATTAACTTAAACACATGCTCTACCACTGAGTTTTCTTCGTCTTCCATCCCCGCTAAATGTTTGTTCAGAAGAGTTGTAGGCTTGCGTAGATTTTGCCCGTTCACCAGCTCCGCAGGAGTATAATCTAATCCTTCATGCATTGTGTGTAGAGCGAAAAGGATAGCGGGTAGCTGCTTCTCCCACTCAGAGAATGCTTCTAAATAGAGAAGTTTCGGCATACGGTTCATTGTACGGTGGACCCTTTCGACGGCATTTGACTGCGGGTGATGAGGTGAGCTTCGTACCAGAGTAATACCAAACAGCTGTACGAACCCCGCAGTCAGAGCGCTAATAAAGCACGTTTGGATTTGGCGTCGAAATCCCATACCACTAAAAAGTTCTAATAGAGCTTGTTTAACAATCGCCGGTGTTGAATCGGTGACTCGATTAGCCTCAGCGAACCAAGTAGACACACATATCGCGGTAATTATATATTTTCGCCTCAATTCTGATTTGGGAAATGGCCCATATGCGTCTTCATTTATTTTACTAAACGTTTCCACCGTAATGGGCAGATAGGGATACTTTCTGCTTGTGGCATGACCTGCCTATTTTTTGGCAACTGTCGTACGTCCGGATATAGGCTTCCATATCCTTAAAGCGGTTTGCGAAAATAAATATTTAGCCATGCTGTCTTTACTTTTGTTGGTCCCCAAATGCGCATTTGCTGTGACACATCTTCAGTTGTACCTCTGTATTCGTGGGGTACAACCAGCATGTTATACATATCACCACGTTTGCGGTGCCTTGACTTAAAAAGTATATTTCCTTTTACAAAATACCTATCTTTTCCCCCTCTCGGGTACTTTTCCTCCATGTGCTTCATATAACTCTTTTATTTCAGCATGTCGCCGCTATTCTGCTGCGAATGCCTCATTGTCAATGTTAATGAGCCCTACTATTTCTGGCTCGAGAACAGTTGCGTTGGGAGTGAGAGGATTATCGCCCAGGAGCACGTCGTCTTGTTGCGTCTCGCTTGCCTCCCTTTCACTTTCGGTAGTTACCTGCTCTCTCGCCGCCCCCGCCCATTTTTGTAACACGCCTACAAGTTGTGATTCTGTGTAACCCTTCTTTATTTCGTCTATTAAGGTGGCGTTGCGGTTGCTGAGTATGCAATACTCGTAATCGCACCGGCGTCCTACTACCGCCGCCTTTGTTTTTACCTGACCGAATGGGCCCTGTATACGCACGTGTGCTACTGGCACATTTTGCGGTTCGGAGTCTAAGGGCTGGAAAATCCACATCGACTCGCCCGTGAATTAATCATTCGACACACATCTGTCATTAATGGGGTCGGAAGTTGCTCCAATATCTCGAAGAAACGTGATTGGCCCGTTGTTTGCAAATCCTACTGATGTGTGGGGGCGGAGTAGCTCTTTGGCCTCTCCGAGTCGTATCTATAGACCTCTGCCAGGAACCTGCATGGTCTATCTGGCTGCCAGTGGTCGGTTTTGCGATTTACGAACGGTCCCCGCTAGCTGGCCCTCGGCATGCTGCCTGCAGCGGCCCTGTGCTGGCAGAGGTATGTTGGTGATGCCCCTCCAGCCTGCCCCCAGCGTGGCTCCCTCGTGTTTTTACTCTCTCCGTGTGTGGTTGTGTTTTACTGTATTATTATATTACCGACTTTGATTTTTGGACTCTCTTACTGATTTACGGCCACATAGCATACGTTTTGGACTTCTAAATGGGATATATAGCGAATTTTAGCTTTCTGTTTTGAACCATTCTTTATAAACGGCAACATAACCAGCATATTGACGTGAAATCTGATTACGTCCCTGCTAACATTTTTTTATACCAAGGTAATTCACTACAAAGCATGGTTTCATATATATCTTATGGATTGAGTTTTGGTTTTAAATATTGGTTTTTCTTTGCGGTCATGGTATTGTTTCAGGATGACTTTTATGAATTTTACGAATTCGTGCAGAATGTTGTGGAGAGGAGACGACTACCTCGGCTGTATATACGCGATTTGGCAAATCCATTAGAACATTTGTTGGATGTTAAAATTAGAAGTAATTTTTTCCATGCCGAAATCTTTGAAGCATTTGTTGTTGCATCACTTTTTTTTAATCTCCACCGACTCCTTCATTTTCCGAACCTTCTGCACCAGAATTGCCTTCTCCGTTTGGATGAAGGGCGGACTCTTCGGATTGTCTAAGATTGTATTCTCGGAGATTTTATAAATTCTTAAATAAACACACACTCGCAAAATTTCCCACCACTCCACTACGCCAGCTAACGTGGAACTGATATTTCCGTGCAATGTGCGACCACGCCGAAAATCGCGGGACACGAAACAAAAGGAAACAATTGAATTCTTGTACCAACTCTCACAAGGTAAATCTATTCATATATCAAAGTCATTTCCCCGATAAAGACATGCACGATATATTTACGTATAGCCATAAATTTATAAACGATAATCTATGTCGAAACAAACAATTCAATTATTTTATATTAATAATAATTGAACTGTAAATAATTGCTTTCGAATGCGTAATATTGGTACCACTCGCTCAGGGATTTCCTTGTTTCTGACAACGTTGCCAGTGCACCCCAAACCAGCTTCCAGAAAACTGCTACCTGGGAACCTGGGTACGGGACGTTCTAAAATTCCAGCCGCCCCCTGCCTCCAAGCAAGCCCCCAGATGGCAGACGCCTGGGCGCTCTGCTGGCAGGGGTTTATAAATACGACCCTGTCAGCTACGTGACACACAGTCTCCACCTTGTCTTTGTTTGGACAATTCCGCTTGAAATGTTCTGTCGAACCGCACGAGAACCAACGTAGCTTACTCAGCCGTTTGAATTCTGCCTTGCTTTTGTTCCCATTCGGCTCGGTTTTCCCTGTATTTACGTGTTCGGAAACGAGCGCGACTTCTGCTGTTTTCTCCCGTCGCTTGTACGGCTTGGCGAACGTGCGCTTCCAGCCGGCACTGTTGTTCTCAGAGTCGAGTCTTTTGGCGCTACCGAAAACGTCCCCCATTCATCGGTGAAATAGTCTTTCATTTCCACTGATACTCGCCGCTTCATCTGATTTGTGACTAACAAATCAAGAAGAGCTTGGAATGTCAAACTATTTAGGCCGCTAATCCATTCTCTGCAATAGTTCTGCAGTTCCCTCGTGTACACGTTCCACGTGGTTCCGACTTCTCCGGCGTGAAATTTTACATTTCTAACAACTATTTCTTTACGTCCACATACGCGACCTCTCTTTCAGCCGATTCTATTATTAGCTATGAATTGATATGATTTGGCAACAATCCCATTAAAATGGTGACGCAGTGATTATCGGGTACTTCCATATGTTTTGCTTATGCCTCAATTACATTTAAATACGCGGTAATGTCCTCTTGTTCTCCCTTAAAGGGGTCCATCACATGGTGCATTTTTACTTGCACTTTGGCATTTACTTAGCTTCCTGCTACCGAACGCCCCGGCGGTGTCGAACTAGCTAAACAAAGTTTCTCTAATTCAAATTCGCGTTCTGACTGTTCCCTCCTTTTCTCGCGTTCCCCTTCTTACTGCTCGTTATATCCTTCTTAATTATTTTACTGCCTCTTCCTCATACAGACGACTATTTAATATTATGTTTCGTTGATTAATGACCATATCCTCCTCGTTTACTGCTTCCCCCCAGTTCCTACGCTGCGCACTATGATCACACTTGCGTAAGAAGTCCTTGTTGCTTGGCTTCGGTCTGGTCTGGAAGTAGATCGTCCTTCCGTCTTTCTTTGGAATGGAGCTCATCGGTCCGACGATCCAGAAAGATACTGCTCCCTTCGTCCTGTTAATTTCAATACGAGTACAATTTATGAAATACCCGTTATGCCTTGTGCATAAGTTCAAACTTCGGCCGCTATTTATGAACTGAAGACGGCCCTCGCGCATGAGTTTATTTACTTCTGCCGCTATAGATGAACTAGTCAGTCCAGTGCACGAGTTCAATATTAAACCGCTGTCGTTATTTATGAAATAGTAGTAGGCGCCCATGCATAGGTTCGATAGTAACCGCTGCCACCATTTATGAAATACCCGTCCGTGGCGTTGTGGAATTAACCTCACAGACAATTTAAAAGTATATAGTTTTATTTACAAAATGTACTAATGTATCGAACTACCCCGTACACTCTTTCCGGGGTTTCCCAACCGCCAGCCGCGATCGTACCATCCTCTGGATACACCACAGGTACATGAAAGGCCCCACCTTGAGTGCACGCTCCTACCGTGCCACTCGTGACCTTCGTCACCCGCACGAATACATACCAGCCTGGGCGTGAGTTTTGCGCAAAGCGCGAGGTTTACAAAAAAACAACGCCGGAGTGAGTCGGCACAATTAATACTCGCCGGCCTGTCCCCACGTGACCATCGTTGAGCGTGGGAGGGAGGTTTACTGTCTCGAGATGCTGCAATACAAGCCCGCGTCTTTCTAGGTCTAAAAATATCTGCCACCCCGGAGCAGTATCCTAACAAACGGACCGCGCCACGCCATCTTTCTTTCCTCTTCCTTGTCCTATCCTCACGCACTCACACTAATATGCACTGCACTACCACACATGCCGGGAGACCGGTCGGGAAATTAGATCTTGGTCTGCTGGTGTGAGATACATGGTTGGGGAAAGCCTCGCTAGCTTCGCTGATGGTAGGTCAGCGCCAAATCTCGCCATACAGCGGGGGACGACCACCGCCACCTATCGAACAAAAACATGCACCACACTTACAGGTCTAATGACCTTAGTAGATGACGCACCCGGAATCGCTAATAATCAGAAGTAAGCAGAAACAGTTTCGTAATAGTTGACTAATCCCATGCCCAATACTTATTGTGATAGAATCCTCAACAGAAGTACATTGAAACTGAACTTCCTGACATAAGATACATTCCACATAATTCTGTAAACTGTTTTTTGAAATTGTTAATAATGGCTTAATCCAAAATGTGTTATATTTGTCAGGAAACAGTAAAATTGTCAGGAATAAGGAATACTATCTCTCTTTCAGAGAGTTCAGAAGTACTTGTTAAGTATGTTATAATGTTTCTACTACTTTTAGTTATCTTTTTGACTTGTTTTAGTCCAAGCATAAAATTGTGCCTGTTCATTCTATAAACTCTGCACTGGTATTCCCTTTTCTCAGCAGTCCCAACGACAAGCAGCAGCGGCAGCAGCGTTGTACTATGTTCCCGCCGTTCAGGGACCTGTTCAAGTGGCAGCAGCCTCACCACCTTCTGCTGCAGCAGCAGCCGCAGCTTGTGCTGCGGCTGCTACTGCCGCTGCGGTTGCTTCTCACCATCATGTCCATCATCCTCATCACCGGTACTTAACAGCTGCTGGTTACCATCAACCAACATACGGCCCCCAAGGTTCTGGTGCTCCACAGCCAGATGGCAGGCAAGGGGGCCCAGCTCCTCCCCCAGCAGCTGTCTCCGCTGCTCATGGCCTTGTTGCTCATGCAGGTAAATGACGAAGGTTCAGGACACACAAACATTGGGAGATGTTTCGCATAAAAAAGCGCAAAATAAAACAGCATGAAAAATACTGCTTGACCGAAATACAAATTTTAGGGTACATTCATATCATTAGTAGGGGGTAGTGGTGGTGGTTGTGTGTTGATCTCAAGTATACTCTCTGTGTGTACCTCTCAGGTAGGTTGTGGTAGTGGTTGTGTGTGTGTGGTGTGTGTTTAGTTATTGTTTATATATTGGTATATATATATATATATATAGTATATATAGTAGTAGTAATATATTATATATATATATTAATACTATATATATATATAGTAGGGAAAATAACAATGCCGTCTTACCTTACCTGCCACCTAGCTTAGATGACAGTGGATCACCTGCAATTGAGTGAGATGGATGGACGTCGTTGTTTGACAGAAGTTATTGAATGAGGTAAAATTGAAAGTTGAATGACTCAAAATAAAATGAGCATGGCAAGAAGTGAGTTTGTAACAGCTCCGTTTCTCCCGTAACAAAATTAACCTAATTAAAACCTAACACAGGAAAATCTTAAGGTTAAGCTTACAGAAAATTGGTTTGCCATTAGAATTTTGTTGCAACCAATTTGCGGCTAAGAATCGTTGCCTGAATTACACAAAAAATTGTTTGAGCAAGAGTCCATTTTTTTTTATTGCCTAAAGGGCCTAGCTGAAGACATTGCCAGGCTCTGCGACATCATCCGTGTTTGTTGTTGTAGAGGCCAGTCACCCTTTGTCTAGCTGTTGCGTCTCTTCACTGTGCGACCTGATCGTCTGAAAAAATGTTCTGCAGCGGCGACGTCTTCGGGGCGCTGCGAAGGCTGTGCAGCAGGTAGCGAGAACCGTCGGGCTGACTCGCTACCTACGCCGCAGTTTATCGTAGTCGCGTCCACAAGTATCGTCCTCAGCTCTCACTTTCAGATGCGATGCAGCAGGCGCTCATAATTCAGTCCACTTTGGTGACGGTGACAATTTTTTCGTAATACTCGCCAAAACTTTATAGACGTGCACGTGCAGCGTAGTGTGTCGTTTCGTCGGTGGCCTGGGATTCTCCGTAACTTAAAGTTAATGATCAGTAGGTCGACGGGTGGGTCAGTTCGAGAGGGTGTGTCGGCGCTTTCTCGACGCGCGAGCACTTACAGATCATGAATAAGGGGTTGGTGTCCCCAAAGCGTCCCTTCCTAGCTGCAGTCGTGGGCAATGGAATGGTTCAGTGGAGGGTGTGACTAATTGAGACCTCTTGACGCCGAACGTGACCAGACCCGCGCGACTGTCGGCCCTACGACGCATTTTGTAAGATGGAAGTTTAATAAGTATTTGATCATCAATTATTTTTTTTCTTAGCCGAAGGTTTGTGTGTTTGTAGTTGTTGCAGTTCGCACGCATTTCGCGTTTGACTGCTATGTGTAAGTGGCTGGTGTGGGTTCGCGTTCGGGCTTTACGCAATAACCAAATCAGTCTTTGTGTTGCACTACGCCCTCAGAATATCAGAGGGAAATGTATGTCTTCTTTGTCCTATAGGTGAGGAAGTGTCTAGCTAATTGTTCCAGGGTTGCAGGAGCTTTGTTGATGCTATTCTGTGACGTCACTATATATGAGAGAGCGAGAGAAACCTGTTCAAACCACCATAATTAAGCGGTCATCTCCATTAATTGACCATTTTTTCAAGCAACTGATTGATTTTTCCATAAAAGACGTGTAAATGTTTTCCTCCTTTCAGCTGTTACTTGGGTTAGCGACCAACAGCCAGGCACATTTAAAAGACTTTTTCTTTATTAAGTAGTCACCTGAAGCGATTTTGTACAGTAATACAATAGAAGTAGAGAAGTGGTGGTCATTACTTATGGTTTAGTATTTTCTTGAGCCAGGACATATAGTCAGATCACTGTGAAAAGTGATATTCAGATTTGCTTATTTTGTTGTGTAATTGATTTCTATTTCAGTAACTGCAGGTGATTTTAATAAATTTCATTTAATGAAACTGCGTTCACTTTCCCCATTTCACAGCATGCCTTTGGTATACTAACTTGCACTTCTCTTCTCTGGGAATATCTTGTGGAGTCTGGGAAGCACACCATGTGTGCAAATCTGATCTGGGGGTCATTGGCTAACTCTTTCACTAGACAGCCCTGCTGTTACATTTCTGCAGAATATGAATTCTCTCTTAATGTCTAGATTGCTTGTTTGATTTGGTGAAGAGAGAAAGTTAGTTTCTCGATGAAGAGAATTAGTGAAGTCAGTGGTGTGTTTTTATATTAGGTGAGAGGAGGCAAAAACCTAAATACCTTGATAAACTTTATTTTGTATTTCATTAATTATAGGGAACTTTCGTTAAATTAATAGTAGTTAAAGAGAGGTTCCGTTCCATAACAATTAGTACAAGGATACCTGTATTAAAGGCCAATTTTTGCTGGAACCATTGGTGACAGCTTAAAACTGTTTCACTGCGTTATTTTTTTCCACATTCTGGTCTTGTGCCACTTCATTTCTTCTGTCCATGTCAAGTTGGTTAAGATTTTAATTTCTTCATTCTATTTCATTCCTCTTCTTTCCCATCTCCTAGTTCCAACCTTCATTTCTAACATATCCTTCCCTAATTGGAAATATTCGTTGTGTCAACTTTGCTACGATCTTAATTCATGTAGAAGAATCTAGATTATAACATACCCTGCCTTGTGTTTTCCAAGGGCACAAAATCATGAAGCAAAGAGGAACTGTTACCTGTTGAGGGTGACCCACTCACCTCACTTGCCAGTGGGCTTTCATCTACAGTTTGTTCGGCACACTCTTCCCTTGAGAGGGGGCCCTTCTCTCTGGTCTGGATTCCTAAGTGGATTACTGTACTGGAGGCAGGTGCTTTCGTGAGCTTCAATATTGAGAATGAATAATTTTCAAATTCGTGGCAAATATTGGAGTACGGCTGTCATATTAGAATAACCGATGATTCTTCAAGATTTAGTGGTAGAGTATTTTCCAGCAATTGCTCAAACATCATGATCATTATTCCATGGTACTCTTCACTACTATTTTTGGATAACTTTTGAACCATTAACAATTCCCTTCTTGCTTCCTACATTTAATATTAGTTACAATGCTGACCTTTTGAAATTCTTCCTCACGCAATTCAAAGCACTTTTATCTTGCCATGTCTTGGAAGTATACCCCAAGAAAAGAAACATTGGTACAGAATTTAATATCGGTCATGTAAAGAATATTTCAAGGTGATGATAAATATCTTCAAAGATTTCTTTACATCCTCTGCGTAGGTTGTTTGTTCTTTCAGAACAATGTAGTATAGTAGTGATACTAATGAATAAATATCTCACATTGGGTATTATTTTGGAACTATATTCCTGTCTTATGTTTTATTTTTTACCCCTTAAGATTGAGTAGTAGTGGTATGGTTGTTTCTTTTTTGAATTTAGGAGGCTACATGGCTGCTGGATATCATCCGGTTGCAGCTGCCCCTGCCTATAGTCCAGCTGCTGCTAATGGTGGCGCTGCAGACTGTGGAGTTCCTGCAGCTGTGTATCAGACTTCCCAGTTACAGCCGTTGTATTATCCCCATCCTGCCACTGGAGGTCCAGCTCCTGCTCCAGCTCCAACGCCACCACACACCCCTACGCAAACACAGGTACAGTATCACTAGGCATTAGGGCTGCGCAATTTAATCACAATTACACATTGTACGAGGCTAATATAAACATTGAAATATAAGGTTAATCAAAACATTGAAATTGATTAGTTTCTTAACCAATTAATCTATACATCAATTAATTTTTCTGATTTTAATTCAAATTGTAATTTTCAAGACAAACAAAATTTTAAAAATGCCCTGCAAACACTAATTTTAGGAACAAAATTCATCATCTCTTTACCTCTTTTCCAGTGTAGATAAATAAGATTTGGTTATATGAGCATGTTTTTCTATAAGAAGCAGCAAAATCGTTAAATCGTAGCTGCATAAGCAGAAGTTGACAGCAGCTTCAATGCGGACTAACCACCATTTGCTCTGCACCGGCCACTCCCTCCGACTTAACCACAGGCAAATAGCAGCTAAGCATGATTTTAGATGAAGATTCGAACTGACCAAAGTCATATGTACACCCGGGGCCAGGAATGTACAATGCCTTAGCGATCAGGGCTAAATGGACATCTGGAATTAAAGAAGGAAAAAACTTTCGTAGATGTTCATTTAAGATGTCTATTGAAGAAATAAAATTTGCGAATTACTGCAAAAAGCTGCAAAGATGAGTTGACCAGAAATATGTGTGTATATATATACAAATCTTTCCTGGACAGTTTGCTTTTCACTTTCCGTTATAGTTACGAAAATATTAGAAAAGCTTTTTATTCTTGAGAAAGCTTCGTAAAGTTGTGCATAGGCAAATACAAGTTTGGGCAAGTACAACATAACTCTTTGCAGTGATTGAAATTGAAATACAATGAAGTGTCGAAAAGCGCCAAACCAGCAAAATTGTACTAGAATATCCAAGAAGATATCATTCCATAGATAGCAGTGTGATGAAACTTTCTTTGAAATTCTAGGTTTTAAGCCTCTAGATCACTTCGTTTTGGAGTTATATAACTACACAGATTTCAACAATAGCCTGTTACTAGAATTCTCCTCCAGACAGCGATTGAATTCAACCTAGCTGATAGGCTAGTATTCAAAATGCTGTTACTGTCGGGACTCACATCTTATACCTCCGAGACAGATGAATTGAATTGAATTGAATTTGCCTTATTTTACGTGGCGAGACTCAGGCCATCAGGCCCGCTCTTCCGTCTGACCACGCAATTTCGCTACGCTCCTTTCACCAACTAGGAGAGAAAGGAGGTATTTCTTGGGCGAGAAACAGGCGATTTTGAATTTAGCTCAGAGGCGTCATTTAGGCTTGAGGATCTTTTACATGCAAGTAAATCTACGAACATGGGACAGCCGGCTTTACTTCCCCTCCGAAGGAAGGCGTACGAAGGATTTTTTCGCCCTTAAAATTCCACGGCTTCGATCGGGTTTGAATCCGCCAACTTGGGTACAACAGTCCAGTACGCTAACCGTTACACCATCGCCGCCGCCATGCACTGCAGTGACATCCGTTCATGCCTCAAGCCACCTCTCCCAGTGAACTGTTGTTCTGTATGCCTGTGTACAATATGCAGTCAAGCTTTCTCAATGCGAAATCTAAGGAGATCCGTATTTTTTTCCATATTAGACAAGTTTCCGCATTATGCATTGTAATACTGTAGACTTTAGCAGTTTGACCGTGATTTACATTTACATTAGACATATTTCCACGTTATGCGTGTTCTACAAATACAGCAAGTTTTATTCTACTATGTTATTACAGTGTTTGTGAAGGCAATTTTTGTTAAAATTAAATCACTTATTTAATTTAAATCACTGTTATAACAGTGCAATTCAAGAGTATTTGTTGTTCTTGTATAGTGTCTGTGATACTTCCTGGAACACCATATTGCATGGTTTTGTACAAAAGTAGTTTTGCTGCTACAGGCCACTACTATCTTCTCAAAACTGAACTTCTACTTCAGATTTGTTGCAGCATCATACATAAAAACATTAAAAATAATAAGTTTTGCATTTCTTGCAATTTTTAAAAACTATGAAAAAATTAATATAGTTCTAGATTAATCAGAACATTTAATTGATTAGATATTAATGGAAAAATAAAATTAAGATTAATCTTTTAATAATTGCCCATTCCTATAAAAGCATGCTCTTATAGGAGTGCAAGATATCTTGAGAACCATGGTGTTGTAGGTGTAATAATATTAATTCTGTGCCAGGGGGTCTGAAAAGTCATTTCTTGCAGGCGCTGTGCCATCCAGCTGCAGGTTATGTATATCTGAATGGAGGATATGCAGGCCCGCAGCCTCCACCTCAACCACCACCTTCAGCACTGTTCAATGGTGGTGCAACTGGTCACATGGCACAGTCAACCCCGCCTGCTCCACCACCACCACATCCACACCCTCTACTCCCATCACTGCATGTGTTTCCACGACCAAGTGTTCAGGTGAGTGTTTCATGAACTGAATGCATTGATTTAATTTACATGTTAATACATGTTATTTACTGTACAAGAAGTTTATTTTAATATATTTTGTTCAGAATTTCTACTTTCAATTACTTACTTTTTAAAAATTGTTTCCCTTGTAATAATCTGTCGTTAGTGTAGCAGAAACATTAAGGGGTTGTAATGATGAAATTATGCAATAGTATTCATGATTACTGTAATTGTGATAGTGATGTCAATGTCATGAGGATGACAGATTTTAAATTTGTGGGCATGTGATGGTAAATAGTGGATAGCCACAGCCCGAATAGTGGCACCAGCTATCATTGCAAACGGACCACCCCTCAACTTTCAGAATAACAGTATTAAAAATGTGCTTTCTTATTTGAAATTTAATTTCTTTACCCTTTTTGCTAATGCAGAAAATATTTGAATGACTGCATTGGCATTTGCGACAAATGCCACCTGCCCATAAATCCCTGCATGCTTGCAAGTATCCACATTCATTACTAAATGTGCAGAGAGGACTGTAAAAAAAACTTTCTTAAAAAAAATCTGGATGGCAAAATTCCTGTCTGTATCAGTAATTGTATTAAAGTGGGTTTCATGTAGTCTGTTACCATGTGCTAATTGCAACAAAATAAATTCACTTGTATAACTAATTTTGTTCATTAAATGGTACATTAATATAATTACCAGATTATGCCATTTGGATTTTGATGAATATATTTGTAAAGTTGAAAAGATGTTTTGAGGCATTATACCACTAAGCCAAAGTAGGAAAGAAAGTGGAGATGACTTATCAGGTACTGTCAATTAATGATAGCAAGATGAAACAAAGGCATTACTCTCTTTAAATATCCTGTTTTCTTCTCCAGTCTCAATGAATCAGTACGTAGTAAAAATTTTTGCACCCACGTAGAGATAGCTGGTGTTACAGTTATGTGATCTTTTGGTGCCTTTATCATGAGATGCCATCAATTATAGTTCTCAAAACATACAATGCAACCTCAATATTTCATATCTGGTTGAGTAAAGAAAAGCTTACAGAATATTTTTATTTTCTAGTATTTTACTTGCTTAGAGGAATAACAGAGAATTAGAGATTCTGAAGGCTGAAACTGACAGACAGTTATATATTGCTGTGCAACTTGAAGTTTCAATTGTGTGAAGCTCATCACAAAAAACTAATTTTCAAAATTAAGTAGAATGCTGTAGTAAATCACTTCAGTTTCATTATGGTAGATTGTTTCCATCTCTCTTCCTTCAATTTAAGTTAACATACATAGTCAGGGAAGCTAACACACATTGATTTTAAAGTAATGCGCAATGGTTAAGCAAACCAATATGAGGTGTGTTTGGTGTTGCCAGTGTGTATTTTTTCACAGCAATACTATAATGTGTGAACTATTATTTTCATATTAAATTGCTTTGATGAAAAACTGAGTCAGTAGTACACGTACAGGGTTTTTTGTATAGTTTTTTTATAAGGTACAAAACCGTTATCTCAAACACTAATAACATCATACTTAAATTTCCAAAATTCTTTGGTGGAACCATATTATTATTCCTTTTACTGTATACCAGTCTGTGATATTGTTTTAGGAATTCTGTACAATAGTGTTTTGTTGCTTTTTCAGGGTGGCCACATTCTGAAAATTTAGGAAAAGTCAGTTAATTTCATTGATCTGGAAAAGTCAAGGGAAAATTCAAGGATTTTATTTGGAGTCAGTTTATTGTTTTAATTTCCCACTATAGAAGATAATTACTCCTCAACCTGCAAAAATTTAAAAAAAAAAAAAATCAAGTTTTGCTGCTATTTATCATTTGAATTACTTGACAAAGACAGTCTTGCACTCTTCCTTTCCTATTTGCCTTCTCTGAGCCTCTATCAAATTCAGTGATGACATGAAAAAATTCAGTCATTACATTAAGGTAAAGTTAAAAGCAGGATTTTCTGTAATAGTTCAAAACAATATCCATGTATGTAAATATAAAGATCATGGTAAATATAAAAGATATGTATATTCATGGATATGCAGTATTTTCTGTCGTAATTTTTCCACAGCTCTCCTTTCTCTGGCTGTTATCACAAGGATTCAGATAGCGTAGAGAAAAAGTGAAGGAAAAGAAAAACTTCATTAAATCTGTAAATAGAAGTAATCGAGGTTTCATAGTTTTTCATTTAATTGACAAAAATTCCATCACAAGGATAGTACATCTGAGACAGTATCGTGACATTTTAAATTGCAGTTTAAATTGCAGACAGTAACATTTTAAATTGCGTGATATTGTTTTAGAATATTTATGTATTTTGACAAAAAAATTCAAAAGTAGTTTCCTTTTGGATACATCTATTTCTTATTGGGGCTGTTTGTGAAAATTTCAGATGCTCGGTGGTGTCCGTTCCAGTCCTCCACCACGACCTCGAGGTCCTCATAATGCTGGAATGGACCAGTCTGTGCCGTCTCAAACTCACAAAAGTCATAGTGGAATATATCACCATAGGCAGGGTGTGGGAAAGGATTCTAGAATGGCAGAAGAGAAGGCAGCTCAACATCAACATCAGCAACAGCAGCACCAACAACAACATCAGCACCAACATCAACACCAGCATCAACATCAACAACACCAGCCACAGCACCAGCACCAGCATCAGCACCAGCATCAGCACCAGCAATCACAACAACAACAGCAACAGCAACAGCAGCCGCCACTGGGATATCCCACATTGCCGTTGCTTGGCCTTCGATTGTTACCTGCTGGTATGTTCACAATACAAAGTTATTAGTACAATTTTAAAATTTATATCTTTTAATCAGTACCTCTGCCTGTTTAACTTTCTCTAAATTATCATTCCAATCAAAATTCTGTAAGAAAATGCAAAATAAAATGGCATTGCAAAATCTGAATGTTTCACGCAGGAACTTACTTGGAATATCATTCTGATCTCTAGGGAACAAATGTCAGTAATATAATTTCCATTATATTTTTATAGTATATATATATATATATGCCAGAGAGGTATGCATTTGTCATTGGTGTCCAGGAAGTGCGATAAGACATTGTTTGTCCAATTTAAATAAAATGATGTGCGAGTTCTATAAAACATAAGCAAACACATGGCTGCTGTTACTTTTTTGCAAACAGCCATTCATCCTTGATTCTGGGTATGCAATTATTAAGTTGACAATTGTTTATGAAGGCCTGACATCAGAAAAGTGCAGTTTTACATTGTCTTCTTTCACAGAAAGTCTATTCCAAGAACATGTAAAGACCAACTTGGATTGGGAATGTGCCATTTCAATATGTAAAGATATTCAAATGTAATGAAATACATATATTACTTTGATGTGGCATATTTATGTTGCTAGTAATTGTTTGGCATTAATTGGTTGATGGTGATGTGCAGGTGATATGCGTCTGGTTGGTGCTCCTCTCTCTACTGGTCCTGGAGGTCCCACTGGCCTCAGGGTGCCTTTCTCTCCCGTAGGGCCTCCAGCTGGTCTGCGTATGCCTTCTGCGTCAAGTATGAATGATCCTTCAGGAGGCACTGGTCGCCCTCCTCGAGCTCGGAAACCTAGGTATATTGCATGTGATCAAGGTTGAACAACACTTTCGGAAACAGAACAAGTAATCCTGTGGAAGATAAATAAAATAATTCGTTGTATTTTCCTGTAAATTTTACTCAGTAAATAAATACATGTCTAATATAAAAAGTAATAATGATTAAAAAGTTGATAAACTGAAATCAAAAGAAAACTTGTTTGTTCATTGCAATTTCAAAAGTATTTAGCCCTTTCTACTTTCTCACACTTAAGTAACGAAAGTTATGTAATCGTGCTCAGAAAAGCAGTGAATTTTTTGGAGAAAAACTCTTATTCCAGGCCCTGATAATGAGAAAGTGGATAAATCCTGTTTCTAGTAGATAGTGTAGTAGAATGTAGTAAATTACATTCTCTAATATGTGGTGTAGCCAGAGTCCATGTTTCGTGGGTCCTTGATACCAAGAAATCAAATGCAAGCAATGTTTTCTGTGGCCAACACTAGTGCCTAAACCGTTCAGCTGAATTTCTCCAAAATTGATGTTCTGTGATCGATCTCAATGAACTCAAGGCTTTCGGAGTTTCAAATGGATATTTTCATTTTTGAGGGTACTGTACATGATGCCTCAAAACATTTTCCAAATTTCTCAAAAATGGCATGGAATTTTTTGATTAAACTTCAGATCCTCAGAGAGCATAAAAGATGAAGAGAATGATGCAGATGCAACTGAGCAATTTTTTTGGGGCTATCTTCCTACAACTATAATATTGAAGATAGGTTGTTTTTTTCCATTATGAAATCTGCTCCTAAAAAATGGATCTTGAAATGAGGTCATGTACAATTTTTAGAAAAATACTAGTTTCCATGTAATTTGGTGCAAAATATAGGAAATTAAAATATTTTTTTTAAAGCAATTTTTTCTCTAAAGCTTCACCAAGCTACCACCTTTTCTTAAATTGTCTCCCCATATGTATCAATGGATGATAAAAAGTATGGTGCTAGTATCATTTTGGCAAACCCTCTGTATTTTCAAAAATTACAAAAATTTCAACTACAAAATTACCAAACAAAACCTACAAAATTGAAGATGGAGATTTTTGCCTAAAATAGTCTGTTCCAAAAAATCCACCATTTAAAAAGGGTTGTTTGCAGATTTTTGTAAAAGCCGGTAATTTTCTCAAACGCCCCAAATTATTTCTTCGAATCTTTTTCATGGATAGAAGAAGGGATGTTTAAAAGAATGGCGCAGGTCTCATTTTAATTGAGCTTTGTAAATTTTTGAAAATTGCAAATTTAGAAATAATGCAAAAAGTATGTTCTGTTGGAGGATCCTGTTTGGGAAGAGGGTAAGAATAAGAAGGTTAAATTCATACAAGCGTTTATATTCAGAATACAGATTCTAGAGTACTTTACAAACTATTCAGTGTACATTTTTTTCAACATTTAATATTCAGCGCTTTTTATTGCATGCAAGTGATTAAGTAACTAATTCTAATGAACTGCAAATTGGGTAGAATCCAGTTTAACTGAAAAACTGTTAATGTTAATATGGCCATTAAATATACTCTTTCAAATAAGATCTCTACAAATTCAGAAATATGTCTCCAAGAAGAAAGATTAAGTGAAAGAATTTAAAGAAACTTGTTGACAATAAAAAACCTGTGTCAGAAATACTTAGTAGTAAAACTATTGCTAATGGTGATAGCTGGTGCTGTTGCCACTGCCAAATTGGCCTGTAAAACAATTTTTTAATTCAAACCAAATTGTTGTCCAAACCAATTTGAAAATACAGCAATATACTGTTAAAAACGCATCGCACTTATAAGTTTTTCATGTTTATACTTTTTTCTGTAAGTCCCGGATAAATTCCTATACTTCCCATGCTAAATTATTTCAAATATGCATTTTACGTTTATATTTTTTTTAATAATGGAAACCTTTTGAAGACATAATGTCCAGAACGGTATAGGTGATCAATAAGTGAGAACATTTAAGTTAACGTACAGGAGTGCAAGGAATTTTTGTGTTTAATTCAGTATTTAGGTTGTTTAATTTTGTCGCTATGGAAAAACTACAGGATGAACAAATTGGCACTAGTGTCGTCTGCAGCATTGCATAATGTTCACCAATATTGCAAGATAAAAATTCAGCACATTTAAAGGAAATATTGAAACTTGAGGGAATCAAAGACTTACAATGACAATTTGGCCTGGGTTACAAAAGCCAAATGTTGATGCACATAACCTGCGTTGGTGCCTGCATACAGGAGTCACGTAATGTGCATCATAGATTAACATTGTATCTTACGCGAAACTGCACATGAGAGCTCGTGACAACGTGTGTTGTTTAGCGGTTGTTGCACATTGAAAGTTAGAAATTGCCCATCATCATGACTTGCTTTGTATTCGTAGCTGTAGCTCTGTGCACAACACACATTGCTGAGGCCACACATGTGCTGCTTCACATTAGATACAGTGTTATTAGACGACACGCATTAGGTGACTCGTGTGCAGGCATCGATGCTTGTCAACACAATACTCCTGTGACACAGACCTAAATGACTGCTTACATAAAGTGCAAATATCAGTGCTATATTTTCCACCAGGTGTGCCTATGCCTGACCCATGTTTCTTCTAAGTCACAATTAATGTACTTCAGTTTCTGGCCTCGATCAGTTTTTTGTCCAGTTCCCGTAATCCACTGAGCAAATGTTGAGATGTCTCCTAGTTTTGCTTCTGGACTTAAATGTTGCTTCACTTTTTGCTAGTAGTGGTTGGAGTAGAGCCGGGGGGGGGGTACGATTTTCTTAGCAGTACAAAAATAAAATAAAATTGCAGTTTGTTTTCTGATGCAAATACATTTTCTATAACTCGGGCAAAAATTTATATTTTCATAAGTTACTTACATCACTTCTTTTGAAACTTTTATTCATCATTCAACTATTTATAATTAAAATATTTGGATTAGATTCTGGAGCTCAAGAAAACGTGTGCAGATGTTATTTCTCTCCCATATGTCAAATACAATTTTTACTGTTCTTTGACTAAATAAATCAAAAATAATGTTAGTCCAAAAGTGGAGTACGCCAATTTAAAAATATTAAGTTTTTGTTTTGCTCATAAAATTCAATTTCAGTTTTGTGTTGTGCTCACTTATACATTTTTTTCCTTTCAGTCCCCTGAAAAACATAAAAGTGAAGTTTAACTGTACAGTGACCCCCAAGGCTAAAGATATTGTGCTTTAATGTTTGTGCACAGCACAGCAAGTGCTCCATCTTACACCCACCACTTGCTATGCTGGACACTCAGATTGACATAAAAATTTACAAGTGGAGATGGGCAATAGTAGTTTTTGCACTGTGATGACATATTTTTCAGACATCTTGATACAAGCCAACTTAATGCATACTTAGCAGTGCATTGATTTGCTCATTTTAATTGTCCTCCATAAATGCACTTTTGACGAAAATGGTAAACAAAAAGCTCCTATATTATGCACTTGGTGATTTCACACTCTTATGATTTAGTCACTTTTTTGTGAGATATCATTATTATGAACATTTTATTTCCAATTCTGAAATAATAGTTATTTATGCTTAAAGGGCATTGTAAATTTTTTAATGATCGAACGACAATAAAATAGCCAAGGACCTTTATCCCGGGGTCTGTTTGTTGCTAAAGATCATTGGAATCTCTTTATATGTATGTATAAAATATTATTTTTTACCTAACATAAATGATACTAATTTAGTTATTTACTAGTTAACTAGATGTTAACTCTGTAATATCTAGATTTTCATCTTTCTTTTCATAATTCCCTCCATGAGAGAATTTGTAGCATTCAACCGTTTTCAAATTTCCCTCGTAGTTACGATCCTCTCAAACCAGGTATGTTAAGCCACACACATCGTGCTCCATGTCAAAGGCAATAATAAGTAAAAAATTAAATATATTTATTTGTTTGATCTCGCCGCTTCAATTTAACATTGTGACCCTTATTACCCCATTCTGCATAAAACAAATCTTTTTATATTGTCTTCCTTGACGATTTTATACATATATCAAACTCTGTCTAGCAAGTAAACCTTATAGCCACCTTGTATGTCCTCCAAGATATTTGAGACATTTTTGGCACATGCATAACAGCAGCAGTTCCATAGGGGTAAGTGGATTTCTCTGCTGGCAAATTGTGGCAAGTGAGAAGACATGAAAACATCATGCAACCACTACATGCATTGCTTCATAGGTCTCAAAAATTTGCATTTAAAAATTTTGTACATTGCTGAACAAATTGGAAAAATGTCATGTCAATCTGAGTGTCCAGCAGCATAGCAAGGATTCGGAATTCGAATATTGTTGGTGCTATTTTCTTGAAGACTATTAATCCCCCATGTGTGTTCCTGTTTGTTTTTTTCTCTTGAAATTGTCTGTGCCACAACATCCTGTAGTTTTTAAGACAGTAACATAGTTTGCAAATGATTTTGCATCAATTACTGAATTACATTGCTGATTTTTTTTTATTACTTTCTCAATACAATTTCTTGTGTTCTATATCTGTTCTAAGTACTCATGTTTTTTGATGTTTTTATTCCAGTGTGTACAGTTTTTGTCCTTTCCATTTTTGTATTTATTGTGTGGTATGCCAATAAGTGTTGTGTTTTCAGTACTATATATGCAGATTTTTTCAAAAAGGGACCCAATGCTTCTCCTGTACTACTTACTACCCATTAACGTAACTTATTTTTATACATCTTTATTTATTAAATTCATTACTTTAATTTCATTTATAAATACAATGTCCTGTTTTGGAGAGTTCTATTAAAGATGATACGATTAGGGCTTTTTACCAACTATAAATGGTAATGGATCAAATTTCCTTGTTTTATTCAAGGAGCCCAACAAAAAACAATCTTGGAAAATTCAACTTATAATAATAGTAATAAATATTTCATCAGCTTTATACCATGAAAGTGACTGGGACAGTTTATAAAATAGGGAATTTCACCTTCTTAACTCTCCAGTCAGTGCTGTATCTGTGAAGGTTCGTAGGAACATTTCTGAGCTTTTAATAAAAGGATTAATGTTTTCATACACCTGATTATCACTTTATCTCACTTTTTTTGTTTGGCTTTTAGCTTAATACATAAATAAGATCTTTATAAATTATTTGAGTTTATGAGATACAGCATCTCCAGCACATGCTACATTTAATTTTCATCCATTTAAATTGAATCTGTATAATTTAACCAAAAAAAAAGTAGCAGAAAAGAAAATTCATACTCTGTGCATATGTGGAGACATTTTTAATTTTCTGTTGTGAGTTAATTGGTAATATTTTTGTTTGTTTTGTAGTCTTTGGAAACTATTTGTGGTTCTTGAGTTTGGATCATAAAAAACAGATTAGATCAAGTGAGATTTATGATGGAACCAAAACTCAAGGCCTTCACAAAGTTACTTAATAATGTCCAAATAGTTTTAAAAACATTTTATGTTGACTTGTGCAACACAAAATGGTTCAACAAAAGTTATTCATGCTTTCTTTCATTCTTTTGTATTTTTCAAAATTGAAGATCATTGTGCAAGAATATGCAGCTTCCAATCACTTCACTCACTTTCAAACCACACCTGCATAT